TATATAAATGATTTTGATATATATATTTATATATGAAAAATTAATTTTAAGTCCTTAAAATTTGTCCAATATTTAAAATAAGTCTTTTAAGTTCAAATTATGTCAAAAATATCATTCAAACTCTTTAGAACAATTTTCAAAGTCTTATATTTCTTGAAATATCAAAAATTATCTTTTAAAACAAGCTTTGACCAAAAGTTTCAAAACTTTCCAAAATTGTAGGCTTTGAAGTTTCGATACTTTGGGTTCCAATGGTCAAATTTTTTAATTCTTCTTTCAAAGAGTTTTGAAACTTCCAACTATAGTTCGGAACTTTATGTGTTGGTAGCCTTTAATGCGCAAATTTAATGCTTCAAACGGCTCCAAACTCCCTCCAACAACCTCAAAAGGTTATAAATCAATGAGAGCACATAAAAGGGGTCTTCAAACATCAAAGAAACAACAAGAAAGTCATTCCAACAATCAAAGAGAAAATATAGCTAAATTTGTATTCCTTTGTGTCTTTCTTTTATAAAAACACTATTTCATTCATTGTATTTTTCATTCTAGTGTTCTTGGGTGTGTGTGAGAGCTTCAATTTGCAAACATTCTATCTTTGTGAAAATATTCAAAGTTTGCTCATTTGTAATTAATTCTTGGAAAGGGTTGAACACTTAAAACTTTGGGGTATAAGTTTTAGTGTTGTAAAAGGTTACACATTGTCCTAAAAGGTTAGGGCAATTTAGTGAATTTATTGAAATCCTTAGTTAGGAAGCTAAGATAGTGGATGTAGACTTCTTTAAGGAAGTTGAACCACTTTAAAATATGTGTCATTTTTTTTTTACTTCTGGTAAAAGCTTCCAACAATTTTTTAAATTGTCAATTCACCCCTCTTGGCCATTTTCCTTGATCGATTGACTCAACAACATCCTTTTTAAACAAATTTGTGTGAATCAAATCATTTTCTAAGATAAAACTCTTTTTAATAAATTTCACTCAATTTTAAATAGGTTTGAATGAACTAAAGGATCATAATTTCAATATATGTATTCAAGTTTGCAATTGCCATGTTTAGATGACATATAATCGCTTAGGTATCAATTCTGGGCATTGTGGGCGTTCTCATCCTTCCTTACACGTAATCGACTCCCGAATCTTTTTCAAAATAAATTTTTTGTTAACATAGACTATTTTCGTCTTTAAAAGAATTTTTCTTAATTTTCTTTAAAATTACATTTTTAGGTGTTCAACCTAACCTAAAGGTCAATGGAGACTCCAAAATAATTTGTTTTTTTCTAAACTCAAACCTCACCCTGTCAAATTTAAAAAAATTAATTCGACTCCTCCCTCACCATCGCGAGACTTAAGGACCATTCCAATAACTTGGCAACTTTGTTGGAGATTGGTTAGAGCATCAAGTAGGGGTGTTCAAAACTCCCGACCAGTTGACCCGCCGACCCAGTTAAAAGATATCGGGTATCCAGGTCAGGCCCGGGTCACAAAATCTTACTTAACTAGGTACCCACCGACCTGGTACCCGGTTTATTATATATATATATATATATATATATATATATATATATATATATATATATATATATATATATTAAATTTATATTCATAATTCTCAAATTATTTCACTCTAATATTCAAAATTCCTAATTTCTTAAATTTTACCACCATATCATTCTAAATTCCTAATTTCTTAAATTATTTCACATTAAACATTCTAAATTGTTTTTAAACTATTTATTTTAATTTGAAATTTTTTAATTATATTTTTATTTTAATTTTTAATAAATTTTCTTTCAATTATGTAATTTGAATTTTAAAATTTTATGTGTGAATTATATATATAAACCTTTAAATTTTAGAATATATATATATATATATATATATATATATATATATAAATAATATATTTAAAGAAGAAAAAAAATATGAACTGGGTACCCGTGACTCGGAATATGGGTACCCGGGTTTTACGAATTACATATACTCAGGTGTAATGGGCTGGGACATGGGCCGAGATTTTAGTCCCGAAAATTCCTGGTACCCGATATTTCGGGTACCCAAAAATACAAGTACCCGATTTTGAACACCCCTAATGTCAGGCCTTAAGTGATTATACATTGTCTTTGTGTTTGGAAATTACAAACTTAAACTATATCTATTTTATGATCCTTATAATTTCATTTTGAGTATATTATACTATTGAATTTTTTAATTAATTATTTTTACCGATGATTGGTTTCACTAATTTCAGATTTCTAGAAGTTTGAAATTAGAGATATGTCCTTGTTTAGTTGTGATTTTTTTTTTTTTTTTGAAATTTCTTCTTCACACACAACACGTGTATACTCATATCATGAGCTTTCTAATTGAGCTTTGTGCCTTTTAAGTAGGGGTGAACTCTTCACCTTCGGGAGAAAATTGGTTCTCCGAATGGGCTTTAGCAAGTAGTCTAAGGGGTTCATATCCTATGTCTTTGTGGAAAAATTAGTCTCTACAGGGACACTTAGATATATATTCACCTAAATTGAACTTGATTTGTACGATATTGCAATGGGTGAGGATCAAGGGTTTGACTGCCCAATGGGACACCGATAAGGACAACTCAATAACCTTTTTTTTTTGTTAAAATCAAAACTTCATATAGTGAAACAAAGCCCACCCGATCGAAGCTATAACAAAACTCTGTCCGTTTATACCTAAATAAGTATACATTAAGGAGGAGCAACTCTACCTTTACTTTTTGTTTAGTTTCATGGAGTAGATTTATTTTTCGAATAAAAACCTGAGAACCATAAAAATATGCAGTTAAGTTTCCTTTCTCGAATAAAAGTTTGGGGGTAGATATCATGTTTAGGTAGGACTTTATAACCGTGTTAGATAGATAGCATGTGTAGGTTACACAATATTACCTTCGATTGTATATTGAATGTACTGACACATTTCTTTCTGTTTGTTTTGTTTTTATTCTTTTAAATATTTTTACATTGCATGCTAACAAAGATGTTAATCCATGGAGGAATGTTATCATAACAAGTTAGATCGAAGCGAAGTGATTGATGTTACGATACTATTACAACCTTCAATGCAAGTATACATATCGTTTTCAAGTAATAAAGTGGAAACTAGAAGAATTTCGAATATCGAACCCATTGAGAACAAAATGAAAAGTAAAAGAATTATGTGGCGAATGTATCAATCACAGACAATTTTAAAATGACAATTAGACTCCATAATATCTTATCTATTACATATAGAGCGAGAATATGAATTATATTTTTAATAATGTATTATGTTTAGTGTCCACATGTGTATCATGCACGAGACATGGTGAGTGGATCCCTCGTTAAATAGGATATACTTTTTGACCCATCATCGGTTGAAGAAGAGGTATATGATAATGTTATATATATATAGGTTTTTATTAAATAAAAATAGTGAGATATAATAAAGGCAATTCAATCACAATAAGTGTCGATAGAAATAAAATCAAAACTTCTTCTTAAATACATGTTTCATCTTTCATAACAATCTAAAAATATCAATAATTTACATGTCTCCATTCAAACTTGGACTCGATATTGACGAAAATGTAAAGATTGAAAAAACTAATTGATCCAGCACGAAATGACAAACTAATATAACGATAGACAAAATCATGACCTAAAAATGAACTAACAATCACACCGAAAAAACATTAAAAAAAATCAATGTTTCAAGAATAGATGGAAAGAAAGAAATCAAAACTAAAAGATGTTTTTTTTTAGATTTAAACTAAAAAGTTAAGAACAAGAAAGACGATGAGACTTAAATCACCCCTTAAGACAGCATTTTAAAAGAAAATTAAAGAATCACTCTAAAAGGAAAATTATGTTTTTTATTAAAGGAGGAATTGGCAATGTTATATATATAAATTGTTAATAGTAGCATTTTATATATATATATATATATATATATATATATAAGTGGCGATGAAAAAAATATTTTTCCTATATTAGTGACCCATATGTCCATACTCGAAGTCATGTGTCTTATACGGATCAAAGAAAAAGTTTGTGCTTTATAAAAATTGTTGAAAGATGTTGACATTTTCAGCCGATGGAATGAGGCATGAACATCACATTAACATCATACCTTACGTATTTTTTATTGTAAGACACCAGATGCCAGAGAAAATGAGTTGCCAAATGTAAATTATTCTAAGATTGCTTTATAAAAAATATTATTATATTAATAAGAATGATGAGTTGCCAAATGCAAATTATTATAAGATTACTTTATAAAAATATTATTAAATTAATAAGAATGATGTATGTATTTTGTTTGACCATGGAGCCGGTAAACCCAAAAACTTGGCAGCCTTTTGCGTCGGCTTAAATGCATAAACCCCTATTTTGTTTGACCATTGAGTTGTTAATATAGGTGTGAATAAAACTCCATTAAATTTATAAATTTTGAATTATTTAAATTGAGTTAACGTTGAAAGTTTTGATTTAATTTGACTCAAAATAGTTTAAATAAAATTTAAATTATAAAATATAATTCGATCAACTTAATTTTTTTAATAATTGATAGATTGACTTTTAAGTTTGATTTGAGTTTCTCAACTTACATAATATATGTATATTATATACGAAGAAATATATGTATATCGTATATGATTATAAAAATTCATTAAATTAGAATCAATTAACACCATAATATTATACATATTTAATATTAAATTTAAATAAAGATTTAAATAATTAAATTAGAATAAAAATTTTAAATGAAATAAAAGTTATTACTTCAATTAACTCTAGGCAAACCCAAAGCAGCCTTTAAAGCCATAAAGCCACGCTGTGAAATAAAGCAACGTATACTATCCGCCGAATAAATGGTTGTTAATTCATAATTTAATGATTAAAAGAAGTGGCGTGCTTCGTTTCTCTTTGTTCAATCTTCTGGATATCTTGGGATTATAAGTCTCCAAAGTAAAACAGTAACTAGTTGTTTCTCTCTATCTCGAGACTTTTTTGCTTGAAACTTTGAATATTGAACATTTCCTCATGGCGCTATCATCTGGCGTTTTAATTTTTTATTCCCTTTTTGTTGTTTCGTGTCTTTCTTGGTGTTCTACTTGAGTTGTCAACCCTTATTACAGGGCAGGCGTTGGCGCTGGTCTTTTTTGTTTATCCCATTTCTTTGCTTCATCTTTATTTTTATGTCATTTTAGAGGGATTTCTTGTTTAGTTAAGTCCTTGAGATCTTCAGTAACTCATAATCTCATGGTATTTTCGAGATGGATGCGGTAAATTGTATGCAAGCAGATTGGCTAAAGGTTGCCTACGTTGTGTTTGCTTTTTGTTCTGCTCTATTTCTCGGCGCTCTTAAAGGTTCTTTCTTGTTTCTCTGTTACTTTCTCTTGATGTTCTTCGTGGAAAATTAGTTTTCTTCAGTTCAATCCAATTTGTTGGTCGTTTTTCTTAAATCTTGATGTTTTTTTTCATTGGGTGTTTCCCAGGTTTTCTTGTTGGGCCTATTGCTGCTTTGATACTGATAATAGGAAATTTGGGGGTCATCCTTGGATTATTGCCTGCACATATTGCATGGACTGTATGCACAATCATAAGGTTCATTTCATCAACATATATGATTCGAACTAGTCGAAATTTTGGGTTGCAATTTCGGGGATCCGGGTTCCATTTTTTTTACCTTGGGTTGGTAATTGCAGGTGTGATAGATTGGATGCACCCCTTAAAGTTGCTATATTGATTGGTTTGCCTGCTTTATTCGGTATATGGTTGGCTTTAAGCATAGCTGGAACTGTTATTGGTGGGGTTTGCTATGGCTTCTTCACTCCTTGGGTTTCATCTTTTGAAGCCTTCAGACATGACAATGAGTCCAAGAGATTCTTTCATTGTGTTGTGGTAATTCATACTTGTGTTTTGTTTTCTGAAAAATCTTGTCTGTTTATCAATACAGCACTGGTTGGATCATGGTTCATTTTTATTACCTGGTCAGGATGGAACATGGGACACTGTCAAAGGAAGTTGCACTGTGGTCAGAGATTTCTATGATTTATGTTTTTATTCATATCCACTGTACCTAAAGGAACTACGTGAATCCCCTGTCTCCAATGACCTCCAAACTCTACGGTAATGCTTCTTACCCTGATATACACGGATTTAAATTGCGGTCGGGTCACGTTTATCGTGGTTAAGAAATTGTTTGGAATCTGTATTGCAGGATGATTCACGTGCCGGAGCTTATCGTTGTCGGATTGTTGGGACTAATCGTTGAAATTCCCTTTTACACTGTGATCGCCATAGTTAAGAGCCCATACATGTTATTCAAGGGATGGTTTCGACTATCGCATGATCTCATTAGCAGAGAAGGACCATTCCTTGAAACAGTATGCATTCCTATTGCTGGTTTGACAATCCTCTTGTGGCCGATCGTCGTCGTCGGGAGCATATTAATGGCTATATTTTCAAGCTTCTTCATCGGATTGTACGGATCAGTCATCGTATATCAGGTCAGGCACAATCGATGCTTTAACAAACGTCTTGAATTTGATAATTGAGCATATGTTAAGCAAATATTTGTGGGGTTGCATTTTTTCAGGAAAGATCATTCAAGAGAGGGGTTGCATATGTGATTGCAATGGTTGCTGAATTTGATGAGTACACAAATGATTGGCTTTATCTCAGGGAAGGGACAATATTTCCAAAGTAATTTACCCTTTCCTAATAGTTTTAAACATTTGGGTCTGCAAATATATATATATTTTTGGTAAAGTACACAAATGATGAAATGATCCCAACTATAGGGCATTGTTTTATTGAGTATCTGGTTATTAAAAGTTATAAAATGGTTACTTAACTTTTCATATGCTCTAAACTCGTCTTTTTTCGTTAAAAAATTGGTGGCGTCGTCATTGCTTTCAAGCATTGGCTCGATGACATAATAATATCTCAATCAATATGTTAACGTCTAGCTTAGATGGCCGTCATTTTAATGGAAAAAGACAAGTTTGGAACTTATAAATAGTCCGGTGATCATTTTGTAACTTTTAATAGTCGATGACTTAAGAAAACAACGTCTTATAGTTGGGGATCATTTGTGTACTTTAGCCTATTTTTTATTATGGTTTGAAAACTAAGAGAGTGATTTCACAGCCAGGCCTTTATATCGAAAGAAAAATGGATCAGAAATAGAGCATTCAGTAGGAGGACTGGGTGGGAAATTCAGTTCAACATCGGGTGAACCACCTGCAATGCTTATGCCCGCCTTAGCTCGTTCTGTATCAGTTAGAGAGGCAATCAAGGAAGTCAAAATGGTTCAGGTCGGTTGCTTTCTCAATCATTTTGTCATCAAATCATTCATAATTTTTCTAGTCCTTCAAAAATTAAGAACTAAAAATATCAAATTATAATAAAAAGGCTTAATCCCTCAAAATTATATATTACAGGGACCTTCTATACAATTTGATTTTCTTTTTGTTTGTTCATTTCTGCAATTGGATAAACAATACTTTAATTGTTGCAACTTGCTTAATGAAACATGCAACATGTTGGGTTGTACAGTTAAAAAGTTTAAAGTGGTTAGCGTTGGTTTGCAAAATCCCCCATAAACGTGATAAAGATTTGGCTTCAACAGCTGTTTGATTCGGCTAAATAATAAGCCATACGTATGTATAGTTTTATGAGTAGTATTAATTATTAGAATGCATAATGTCAAGAAATGTCTCTGTTTGAATAAATAGGTATTTTAATTATGTTTCTAAAATATTTTAATCGCATTGGTTCATTTTAGGGTAAATTATCTCTAATGCTTGACTAAATAGTCTCTTTAGTAGTTATTCTTTTTCTTTTGTTTTTGTTGAGCATTTTCGTTTCATTGTAGGGCAAAATTACCTCTAATGTTTGACTAAATAGTCACTTTAGCTCTCTTTTTTTCTTTTTGGAACTTTTTGACCCTCAAATGTTTCATTTTAGAACTAAAAGATTACTATTTTGGAGAATTGTTTGTTGACCAACAATTTTCATCTGTGAAGGTTATTTTTACTCAAAAATAAAGACAAAAATACTTGGAAAAAAATAGAGATCATAATAAAAATCTTCCTAAGAGGAAAATATAATTAATTATATTGTTCCAACTTTTCATTTATTCAATATTTAGGTAAAAAACATGATTGGACATTTATATAAAATATAGTTATCTAGAAACAAAATTTGTGCCTATAATTGAGTGAAAATTTCTTTTTAATGACTGCTTGAATTCTGTTACGTCGTTTTATTCGCAGGTATGGTCGAACATAATGAAATCATGTGAAATAAGGGGGAAGGAACTATTGGAAGCAGAAGTAATAACTTCATTAGATCTGTTAGAATGGTTGAAGGCAAAGAATGGTAACGAAGCAGCCATTATCGATGTTGGGCTCCCCTGTTACAGTTTCTTGCAGACTCTCCTCACTTCCATCAGATCGGGTTCTAATGGTTTGTTAATGATGGATGATGTTGAGGTCAACCATCTGAACCGACCAAAAGACAAGATCCTAGACTGGTTCTTTAACCCAATCATGGTCCTCAAAGAACAAATCAGGGTCATTGACCTCGGACACAACGAGGTTAAGCTGTTGGAGAAGATGGTTCTTTTTGGCACCAATACTCAACGCATGGATGCTTGGCACAATGGTAGTTCCGCCCCTCAAGATTCTCTCAGAGCTGCTCAAATTGAAGGCATAAGTAGAAGGTTTTAACAAACCCATTATTTATACACTCATCTAACACCTATTTTATACTCAAGTTTTCATTAAATAATGCTTTCAGAAAAAAGATTTTTCTCATTTAAGATGTTAGAAAAATTAATTTCTCATTTAAGGAGAGTGTTACATTATTTTATAGAAGACGTCTAAAAGATTCGATGATTTTTTAAAGACGCTTAGAAGACACAGCGACTTTAGTGTCTTTTAGAAAGACGCATTTTTTGGACATGTATAAACTTAGAGAAGTCGTCAAGTCTTCTGAGCGTCTTAAGTCATTAGATTTTCCGGACGTTTTTTATGAAATACCGCAACGTTTATCATAATTGAGAAGATAATTTTTCTAACACTTTACGCCGAGAAATTTTTTTTCAAAACATTATATAACTAATTTTGTTTAAACTTGAAATCTTATTTATGATTGTGAAATTACAGGATAATTGGAATGGGGAGAAGTATGTCGAAATTACCAACTTATAGAAGGAGATTTCGACAAGTCGTGAAGGATTTGATTGCACATGCTTCGGAAAAACAGGGCATTCCTTTATGTAATTCCATTAGATCAAACTCAAGCCATGAACAAGTGTAGGACTATAGCTTTACAGCCATTGCATTGCATGTATAATTTACACTTATTTGAAAAATGTAGGCGTGTATTTGTGATTAAATTCCATTCAAAATTGTTTTAATGATGATCTAGTATTAAATAATTGGGAAATTGAACATACATTAAGAATGTTGAGGTGCTTTTGAAAATTTAATCGAGGAAGATGGAATCTGAGAAAGTCAACAATGTAAAGAGAGACAGAGTTGGTTCGACAGCAAAACAGCAAAATGGAGTGTGATCCAAGAGGAATAGTTGCGTATTAATTAAATCGCCCGCTTTGCCATTCATTTTTTATTCCAATAAACAAACAAAACAACCTACGCGTTCACGCCTCCCTAACTTATCCTTTTCGTAAAATTACAAATTTCTTGTCAACTACGTTGAACATCCTCAGTACCATCAAATTTAAAGAAAATATAGATTCCGTTCTCCTCCTTATAATCTATAGAATAGTTAATATAACTTAATTAATCCTTTTAAATATAATTTACCTTAATAAATACACTTTAATTCATCAGATTTCAACTTTAGAGATACATTATACCAATATTAAAATAATTATCAATTCCAAACATGCGTAAATAATAAAACAGATATATTATATAAAAACCATAATGCGGAAAACAAATTAGATTAATATATAATATATTTATTAACATTTTCAAATATATAAAATATTAACATTTAAAATAAAATAAAAAAGAGTTGCTGTTGATGTTACTGCGGGAAACAAAATAGTAGAAGCTGACGAAAAGAAGCGAGATCGTACCAAAGAGAGCAGAATCAGCATACATGAGTAGATTCTGAAGAAAGGCGCAAATTTTAGGGTTAGAAATTCCTTAAAATTAGCAATAATATACGGAATTTCGCGGTTCAATAACTGTTTTTTATTTCACCCCATGTATATTAATAATAACAGACCAATTAACAGCTTATCTCTTCTTCGTTATTAGTCATTCTGTACATAAAATAAAAACCCTAGAATTTAGAAACCAGTGAAATTTAAAAATCAGTAATGGTACCTATGAAAAATAACGCCTGCTTGATCTTTTCTTTTTCTTCATCTAAATAAATTACTCCTTTGTCTTTCTGGTTTGAAATTTCGCGTTTTTTCTTTCATGGGTTGAGTCGAACCCACTGGTAACGTCCTTTCAACGGTTCGTCCTTGACAATATCATAGTTATACCTAAAAACAGTAAACAGAAAGGGAAAAAAGAGATTCTTTTTCAGTTTGAAAATTGAAATTACCGTTTGGTTCCTAAGAAAATTGAAACAGCAGAAAAGAAAGTCTAGGTTTTGAATAGAATGTGCATGAACTTACTTTTCAGCGAACTGTTTTTTAACATTTTTCTCGGCAGCAGCAAAGAATTCTTCAAGTTCAGCTCCAGTTGGCATCTTCCCCACCGTTGATCTACGGCGAGAGTTCGCCTCTGATGGCCTCGACGTTGAATCCAGGTCTTCATGCTCACTCGACGGTGTCGTTTCTCTCCTGCTAGAACTCACCAATGAGACGGAGAAGGGCGAAATGATTTGATAGAAGATGTATATATATATTAATACACACACAAAGAAAGAAAGAGACAATTTCAAATGGAAAATGGAAATTTTAGAAATTGAACCAATCGGCTGCTTTTTGAAATTCAAAATTCAAGGGACGGGACAAAGTAACTTAACTGTAAGTTAAATAGTACTGCTAAAGAGTAGTAATAAATTTTATTCCTAATAATTATACAGACCTTTCTCTGAAGTTTAAATGCGTGGATGCTTCAACTTCAATGCTCTCACCCTGAAAAATTTTGAAAATTCTCGAATTAAGTAACAGCAATTAGAGCGGAAAAAACACGAGATTCCTATGATTCATAAAGAAAAACATTTCAAATTTTTTTAATGAATATATAAATATACCTCCAGATCTGGCAATCGGATAATCCTTTTCTCACTTGATTCCATACTGCTTGAACAGCAAGACATGTCATCATCAGGATCCAAATTAGGGCTCAAACATTGACTTTCGTTCAGTTGACGATGATCCACCAAAATTCTCCGGCTTCTCGACGTCATTGAGGTCGTAGAAGAAGCTACTCTAAATTCTGAATTCCCATCGCCGTTAAACCTTCTGCGTTTCTTCTGAGTTGTTCCGGTTGTCATCATGGCCGGCGTTTGAATTGCGACGTTGGGTAGCTCCATAACTGTAATTTCTCCGTTTTTTCTACACTTTCTCCTCATACCTTATAAGGGGGGAAAAGACTGATCTGTTTGTTAGAGTTGGAGAGCGAGATAGATAACTCGTTTTTTGGTTGGTTTTGAGCTTCGTTTTCTTGTTTTTTCTAGTTTTTGATGAAATGATGATGATGATAAGACAGAGGGGATGGTTTGAACGGTGAGGATTCGATTTGCGGTATTAAAGGGAGGCAGTTGGTGGTCCATTTAACAGCAATGGGGAATCTGTAACGGCGCCGTAACGGGGATCTGGGAAGTGAAAGCGAATGCGCCGAATTTTGACTAATTAGATAATGCCACGCAGCTTGATGCCCTACGACTTGTACTATCATGAGGTAATGTTTGGCAAAATCCGTTTATGTGTAATTATTTTAAGGGTAAAGTAAAGTAATGGTCACTAAACTTTTCTAAAGCTTTCATTTAGGTCCCCAACTTTTAAAACATGCAATACAGTCTCTCAACATTTAGTCTATTTGCAATATGGTCCCCCAACATTTAGTCTATTTGCATTATGGTCCCTGACCGTTTGACACCGTTACACTGCCGTTAGTACGTTTGCAATATGATCACTAAACTTTTCAGGCACATGTATTTAGGTCCCCTAACTTTTAAAACTTGCAACACAATCTTAAATTTCATTTTAAACCCCAAATTCCTTTTCGATCTCAAATTTTCTTTTTCACTTCTCTCTTTTAATTTCTAGCGTAACTTTTTCAGTCGGGGATGTATGAGAAATTCTAATCAAACTTGAATAAGGGTCTATTGAGAGAAGACCCGACCAAGGGGCTATCAGGACCATCAATGATTCAAGGTGTAATGTTAGATACAGGTCATCTCAGGTAAAGCGTAGATGTTCAATGAAATGCTTGTGAGAAAAAATGGGGTTAGAAATACAGAGTTGAAAAATACTACTAAGATGAACTAAGTATCATTGTTGAAAGTCGCCAACAAAGCTGAAATTAGTTTGTATAAATGACATATAATAATTTCTTCGTTTAATCCTTCTGCTTAAAGATTTTTCAACATATGATCAAATATAATGAAATCTCAAACAGTGCATTCACCTCTCAGTCTCTTTCGCAACTCGAAAGGGCATCATGACAGGGTCAAGTAGCTACTCCAAATATACTGCCCTATCATGATGTATTTTGAGTTGTGTGCATGCAGAATTGGAATTGTCTTTTAAAGCTATAATTCAATATAATTCAACTGTAAAGTTTCCAAAACATGTAAAAAAACATTAATTTCTTCACGATATATCAATCTCATAATCAATATGAACTTATTAAAAAAGAATACGAGCTCACGGGACGCCGAAAACCACAGGTCGGATCAATATAATTACCAGTAAACTAGTACCAGCAGTCTCTCGGATTGAGCCTGGCGATTTCACTATGTGGATACTCACAACCAACTCCTTGATTTAAAGAAAAACCAAACAAGAAGATCAAAAAAATTAAGTCTAGGACCCTATTTTACTTATATTCTGATGGTATCTTTCATATAGAGTACTAAAAGTTTTGATTAAGAAGAAAGAAAGAAAATTAGATGGTTTTGGTTCAAAACTAACATTGAATATCCAGATCATTGACATGCAATTCCAGAAACATAAAAATTTCAACAAAAAACACACAATGCGAGCTGAAAATGGGAAAGTGCGAAAGAGGAAAAGCTTACTTCTAGATAGCCCAAAAGAGAAAATAAATACCTTCTTGCAAGTGAGGGGAAAGGCTAAGAAATAAACGCAATCGGTGTTGCGTTCCAGCAATTCTTCCTCCATTTTTTCTTTGTAAATAAAAAGCTGAAAGACAAAGCACTGCTTGGGTTTACAATTTTATATGGCGAAAAATTGAAGAACAAAAACCAAACGAGAGGTGAATGCGTTGTTTACATTTTTTCTTTGTTAGTGACTTTCAACAATGATACTTAGTTCATCTTAGTAGTATTTGTCAACTCTGCATTTCTAACCCCATTTTTTTCTCACAAGCATTTCATCGAACATCTATGCTTCACCTGAGATGACCTATATCTAACATTACACCTTGAATCGTTAATGGTCTCAATAGTCCCTTGGTCGGGTCTTTTCTCAATGGACCCTTATTCAAGTCAACACCTCCACATAATTCAAAGTTAGATTAGAATTTCTCATGCATCCCCGACTGAAAAGTTACGCTGGAAATGAGAAGAGAGAAGCGAAAAAGAAAATTCGAGATCGAAAAGGAATTTGGGGTTTAGAATGAAATTTAGGACCGTATTGCAAGTTTTAAAAGTTCGGGATCCTAAATGCAAGCCCCTAAAAAGTTCAGTGACCATATTACAATCGTACTAATGGTAGTGTAACGGCGTCAAATGGTTTGGGACCATATTGTAAAAAGACTAAATGTTGGGGGATCATATTACAAACGAACTAAATGTAGGGGATTATATTGCAATTTGTAAAAGTTGAGGAACCTAAATGAAAGCTTTAGAAAAGTTTAGTTACCATTACTATACTTTACCCTTATTTTAAAGTTTATTCTTTCCTTCGAAACCAATTCTTTTGATAGATTATATACTATTTTTCTTACCTTGCTACAATCATTTCCCTCTTGGTTTTTGCTTAATTGTTAGAATTTAGGCGTTCGGGGATTAGCATTAAAGTTAATGTTTCTGCCTGTTAAATAAAATTAAAAAAAGGGCGACGATAGGTTAAAAAACACACACTCAAGTTCTGCGTTTTTTTTTTTGTAATATTTTCGCTTTCGTGATACGTTTTTTATTATTTGATCTTTTAAGATTTAATTTCATCTTAGGTGATTAAGATATCGTTTATATATTATTATGTTGATATTTTTTTTATTTTGATTCTTAGATTGAACTTGGATATACAACGTGCGTTCGTAAATAGTTTTCCCATTATGTTCGATTTTGATTTACGGTTGTCGATGTTCTTTCATTAGTTTAATAACATGTGGTTCATTTGTCGATACAATCATATTTATTTGTAAATATATTTTGTTCGAGTTTCTTATATTAATTTTAACATTTTTTTGTATGATCCTTAAATAATCTCGATTAATTAATTTATTGTGTCAATAGTTATAAAAAATATTTTAATTATGTGTTTAACTTACAAACTTCATTATAACTTGAAATGTTTTTTTAATAAAACCAACTAGTCTACGTAAAAAATTACAAATTAAAAAAATTGAATCCATTCTTACAATATATCATTTAGAAGTAATGGAATTTTATTGGTCTTCAAGTGAGTACGTGGACCAACTTTGAAATTGTTCTCTATTTTTCTAAATGGAGTGTGAAATAAACAAATTTGTATATTTAGACTTTTTTAACTAATAAAATAGTTAGTTTTGTTAAATAAATAATAGAATAAAATAACATCATAATTGTAAAAAAATAAAATAGATTAATCACATTTTTCTAAAATTATCAAAGAGTACAAAATATCTACTAAATAAAAAAAATCATATATGAGATGTGTCAATCAAACAAATGTCAATGAAGATTAAGCACCCTCAATACCAATATAAAATAAATATAATAATAATATCACATTAAAAACTAACTTTACACAACCCAAGCATGATTTATTTAAGATGATTGTGAGCATCTATTAATACCAATATGAGATAACTAGTCCAATGGTCTAAATCAAGAGTGGATCAGCAAAAGATTAAATAAATTCAAATTAGAGAGATAACATTAAATATTCTAAATAAAGGTGACAAAATGAGTTTAAATTAGAAAAAAAAATGAAACGATTCTAGCTTAAAATTATGAATATAAGATTGAACAATTTCAAACTTGTGGGACAGAGGTGAATCTATAGGGGCTATAATTCGGATTCCTCTAAATTAGTACAATTTTGAATTAATTCCTTTGAAAAATATTAAATGAAAAATTAAAATATATAATAAATTTTTTAAATGATGAAATTAAAAAAATTATTGTAAAATTTAAAATTATATAATAATAAAAATATATATTAACTCTATTTTTTAATCTAGCACGTGCTAGAAGATGTGCCGTACATTAAATAAATGCCATAACGGCATAACATAACAGTTAGGTAATCCATAAATGAATGCTGATGACGATGACGAGGTCAATGTCGTTTTCTTATTGAAATATATCATAAAAATCATTATTTTTAATTCATATTCAGTTTAAATTTTTAAAAATAATATTGTTATTGATCAAATATATAACTTAGAATAAAAATATTTTTTTATATATTGTATCTTTTAAAATTTTGTTTGATATGATATATCTTTATTCGAACATGATTAATAAAAAATAAAAATTATATTTAATTAACAGAAAATGCACGATAACAAAACATATTTTCCTAAATTTATATTATAAAATTATAGAAAATGTACGATTTATTGATCACATTTTTAATAATATTACTATTGCACGGATCAAATTATCTTTGTAATTAAAGGAATGAGTGTTATTCTTTAAACTCTAAGGTTCGAACATTAACGACAACAACAAGACTTATTAAGCGTTCATTTCAAAAGATTAAAAGTATTTAGTACAGATACTACTTTATAATAACCATAACTTAAAAATAATAATAATATCATTACTAAAACTCTTTATGAATCTTGATAATTATTTGTTTGAATTTTTATCAATATTGAATTAATGAAGGATATGAAAATAGTTTTATTTAAAGTATCACTGAAATATATTTATTTGGTTTGAAAAATTACTAAATTTTTTGAAATTAATACATAAAGAATAATAAATTTGAAATAACAACGAAGGAAAAACTAAAAACTGGATTTATACAGATAAAAAGTAATTATTTTATATAATAATTTTATTTATATGAGATGAAAGCATTTATCTTAGTTTAGAAAAAAAAATTATTAGTACGAATCAAATTATCTCAGTGGTTAGAGATGCTTGTTACCCTTAGAGGTCTCAGTTCCAAACATATCGTATGTAAAGGATGTTTGAACGTTCATTGTTAAATGAATTGGAAATCTTTCGAACATATATTATCTTGTAACATCTTAGATTAATAAAAAAATTACTAGGAATATATATATATATATATATATATATAGGAAAATGTATATTTTTAATTTTGCTAAAGAAAATAATATTATAGAGAAAAGAATATCAACCAATAAAATTTGCAACTTTTTAATTTAAACTTAGGAAATAAACATTTGATTAGTCTTATTTTTTCCCAATAACTAATCAACTTTTTTTATTGATTAAGCATGTCACATAAAAATCAGGTAAATTTCGAAAGATAGTTTGATTTTTTGCTGCATTTTAAGAAATGTACTTAAAATATTTTATAATAAGAACTAATTTTTTAAATTTAAAATTATGAGGACATATAAAGTCTTTTTATCCAAAATCATTGTAGAAAATTATTAAATATATTATCAAAATTTTTGTTTACAATTTTATCTACTACTTTCCCGAGAACAAAACAATAAGTTTGTTTTCCCTTTGAACGACTATATCGTTAAGGAACAAAGGTTGTACATGTAGGAATAGATATAGAATTTTATGTTAAGGACGGACTTCTAAAACTTTAGAAGGGAACGAATTTATAAAATTCCCTGGGGACGAAAATTATTTTCAATCAAAATACATAGAAAAAAATTTAAAATATATTGTAATTTTAAAATTTTAAAGGATGATTATCCTCACCACTCCCTTCAATCCATCCCTATTTATATGAACAAACTTAAATTATTCATGCGTGAAACTAAAAAATTTAAGGATCATGTGGCATGTCACAAAATAAACATGCAATTGGACGGGCCGATACAAGATGTATTTTCTTTAAATGATATGCTTATTAATGAAAAATATCATTTTAAAAATAAAATTTTAATTTAAGAAATAATCTCTTACGATGATATTTATATAAAATAAACTCGCCAACGAGATTTCTGCATGTCAATACATACATGCATGTATAGCCTCTTCACACGTGGATTTGGATGGGTCCTAAAATAGGCAACATGGACCACTCACACCCCCCCAAGAACTTTTACCTATTTTGATATTTTTAACCATCTGTCAACATCCAAATCCATTCTTGTATTTTTATTCTTTTAAAATGATTAAATATAGATAATAATTCTTATAAGAATACTCAAAAAAAATATTTATATGCTTTAAGATTAGATTAGACCGATACAAGTTATAAAATATATATCTATGACATAAATTAGATTACATTTATCAGATCAAATAAATTATAACTATAACCCTAGTTATGAAAAGATCAACCCTCAATTACCCAGAAGAATTTCTCTAGATTGCATTGATTAGATTTTTATTAGGCTCAGCTATATGTACTCTCTATTTGAGTATCCATATTCTCGTCCGAGTGTTCATATACTCTGATTGAGTACTCATATTTCCTAATTTAATATTTATGCTCCCTAATTGAGTATCTATACTTTTAAACGTTGAAAACTTAGAAATATTTCTCGTTACATTTTGTTAGCATGATAAATCAACTAATGCAGTGTGCACATTAGCAGTGTAGTTAGAAGCGTGTATAAGTTAGCAGTATTGTTAGAAGTTTCCTAAAGTTGAAGCTGTTATAACATCTAAGGTTGTTAGCAAGTTAGTTTTGATTAGTTGTTCAGTTAAGGTTGCTGCACTAGTAGTTAAGAGCTGCAGTATATAAGAAGCACCAATCTTGTACTCATTTGTGTATTCTGATATTCAATATACAAGTCTATATTATTCTGGTTACCCATTTCTTAACATGGTATAATTCGCCAAACGATCCTGACCTTGTAGTTCGTCAGCTGCATCCTCCTCCTCCTCCGTTGCCGCCGGCTTCCGTTTCCAGCGCAGTATAAGTCGGCGTACGGAGACTAAACTGTAAATCTCGCACATACAAAGCAATGAGAAGAAAGAAAACACTCCAAAATGCTGGAGCTCAGGCTGGTTCAAGGTTCGCTTCTAAAGAAAGTATTGGATGAGATTAAGGGCTTGGTCAACAATGCGAACTTCGACTGTTCGACGACCGGATTCTTGTTGCAGGCGATGGATTCGAGGCACGTGGCGTTGGTGGCTCTGTTGCTCAGATCGGAAGGGTTCGAGCACTATCGCTGCGATAGGAACCTATCAATGGGGATGAATCTCGGTAACATGTCCAAGATGCTAAAATGTGCCGCTAATGATGACGGTAGCGATACTGTTGCTTTCATATTCAAGAACCCAAAACAAGATAAGATAGCAGACTTTGAGATGAAGCTAATGGATATTGATAGCGAGCACCTTGGAATTCCAGATGCTGAGTACCAAGCTATTGTTAGGATGCCTTCTTGTGCACCGAATGTAACTGCCCAGAAATTATTCAATGGAAAGCCTGTTAGAGTTACAACCGAGAAACTGCCCGAAAGTTCCTTGCGGCCAAGTTGTTGAGTGCTTCTTCTCCACCTTCGTTTGTTGTTCCTGGAGAAACCAAGTTTTCAAGACCCGCTAGTGTTGCTTTAACTTCACCAACCAGAGAATTCCCCATCTTTAAGCTCTGATGCCCTGCAAGATTGTCCAAGAAAGCAATCCAATATGTTCATGCTCCCTCCAACTCTATTGAAACGGTAACAAAGCAAAGGGTGGATGTGAGCGAGAATTTGACCCTCGAGGCCATGAGGTACTCGTTAATTCGACAAGAGGACAACATAATCTATAGCCTTCTGGAGAGAGCTCAATACTGTCATAATATGAGTACGTATGACCCCTTGTTACCTGACCCCTTGTTACCACCTTATTACCACCTTTGACATATCCTCAGCTTCGAAATTGATTTTGAAAAGCTTGTAATTGATTCTGAAACCGGAAGACACTTCCTCTGGATCTTCTTTTCTGGTCTTGTATAATTGAAAGAGCAATGAAGAAGAAAGAAATGAAGGTGAATAAGAAGAACGAAAGGAAGCATCGGCACTTTCGATTCAACTGAACGGAAGGAAGCATCGACACTTTCAACTCAAGAAGAACGAAAGGAAGCATCGGCACTTTCGATTCAAGTGAACGGGATGAAGCATAAGCACTTTCGATTCAATTGTTCATCTTTTCATCAAGAAGGTTGAATGTTAGAAATTAGTTGTAATTTTTTTTCATCAAGCAACATTTGAAGTGTTTCGTGGAAAGATTGGAGTGCAAGTGTGTTCATGGTCAGAAGAGGAGAAGAAGAAGAAGTAGAGGGAATGTTAGCATGATAAATCAACTAATGCAGTGTGGACATTAGTAGTGTAGTTAGAAGCGTGTATACGTTAGCAATATTGTTAGAAGTTTCCTGAAGTTGAAGATGTTATAACAGCTAAGGCTGTTAGCAAGTTAGTTTTAATTAGTTGTTCAGTTAAGGTTGTTGCACTAGTAGTTAAGAGCTGCAGTATATAAGAAGCACCAATCTTGTACTCATTTGTGTATTTTGATATTCAATATACAAGTCTATATTCTTATGGTTACCCCTTTCTCAACACATTTGAATATCCCTAAATTGCTATGAAATGTATAAACAACCTTTAGAAATGCCCATAATTCATAAAATGACTGAAATACTCTTAAATTGTATACATTAACAAAATATCTTTTGTAGGTAAGAATCCATAAAAGTGTCTTTAAATTTACATGTATTAAAAAAGAGTGATAAATCGATGACGTGTAAGCTATTTATCATGTCGAATGGTAAGTTAAAGGAAAATTAGGATTGAATGCGAGTAATGATCCATTAATGAATAATCAACTCAAGTTGAGTATCGTGGTAAGTGAATAATGTACTATATAGGTAACGATAATGCTTAATGTCTTATACATCATAAAATACTAAAGAACTAAGTTATTCTTATTAACGTTATAGACAAGAGAACGAGTTATGTAGTGAATAAATAGGAAACAACCTTAATTGATTTTATTCGTTGTAATACATGTATAATCAAGTTACCTTGTCGGTCTTGTACGACAATGATTGATGTGTGTGACCTATAAGAACCAATTCATGATATGGCTTTGTGTGATGATTATTGTTGTATATCCATGATAATTGACTTGATTACTGTAGTGATACCGAATTAATGTTATATGAATTGCGAGTGAGAATTATATCGAGACATATGTAAGACTAGATTTCTCTCTATGATTTATACATGATGGCTATTAAGAAATTAATGGATCATTTGTTATGATCGATTGGAATTGTACCGAGACATATTTGATAACGAGTTCTTCATTTCAGTTAGTATTCGACTGCTATTGTAATATTGGGTGCTACCATTATGTTATGCATATGATGATGTATGACTTGTATATTGTGGAGACTAGAGACTGAAATAAGTTCATGTATAGGCTCTTAATTACGGATTATGAAAAGTATAAGACTAATATTATTGTGAAAAAAAGTTGTTAAACCTTAAGCATGTAGTGTTGGATTATGAATCATGCATGTACTTATTGTTTATTATTATTTTACTACCATGATTACGTTTATAAGATTCATGATGTATACAATATATTATTGATACACTATTATGCTTGTAAATGATATGTTTATAAGATTCATGATGTATACATTAGATTATTGATACACTATTATGCTTGTAAAGTTCAATGAAATTTGGATGTATTCGTTAACATATTAGTACGTAGTTTGAGGAGCACTGTCATAGTAGAATTTCTAACACATTTTCACCAAAATACAATACTATTACTTAAAGTGGACACATGTACTCATAGGATCCTTGTTTATGTATTTGATTTGTAAACTCCAAGTTTTGTAATATTTTGGTTTAAACTAAAGTGTCATTGAGCTACGATTTGTATAATTGTTTAATAATTGTTATGAATGTTATATTTAGATAAATCATATTATATATTAAAATGAAATAAAAATAATTTTAAAATACAATCTTTTTTTGAAAGCACATATAAAAATTAAATTACATTCCAATGTGATATCTTAGGGGTATCGACGATAATCAAATTTGAGATGTCACATAGTGACATGGGTTGAGATTATACATATAAAAGAAAAATACTATTAATGTTTTCCTTAAATTTAATATATTAAATTTTAAAATAAAAAATAAATTAGCAATTAAATCATTCTTAACTAGGAACCAATTAAACAACACTTAGAAATAATTATTAATCAACACTTAAACCTATGGGATTTATAAAAAAAATGAATAGTTAAAAGGTTAAAGTTGAGAAGAATGGAAGAGATTGTTGGAGGGAATACTTGAATCAAAGACCGCATTTGATGTCAATCACAATGATTGAGAATGCTCGGAAATCCATACATACTCCAAAGCATAATAAGAGACTAAAGACCCGCACTCTCCTTTTAAGGGAGTCCCATCAGCTCAGAACTATTAACGATGGTGGATCCAGTTCCACCAAAAAGATTATAATTGGTTTTTACTTTTTTGAAAATTTTCCTTCATGCAAAATGATCAGTAAACAACTTTAGGGCTTTGTTATCCCTTTATGGTACAAATTAGTAGGGAAAAAGATTTAATTGAAAGCAAGACTAGCCAAAAAGCAAAAAGAAATTGAAAAGAAAGAGTAGTTCAGGGGTGTAGAAAAAAATTTAGGGGAATAATAGGAGTAGAATGAAAGCAAACAATGTATGTAAAATCATTTGGTTACAACTAAATTTATTAACCCTAGCTTTCTCTCTTTTTCTTTTCAATATTTTTATGTCGTATTTTTTTAATTTTTATTTATTTGGCAGCTGCACCAATCTTAATATTAATTGTCGACCATCGATTATTATGAGTTCTCTTGTTTTTTTATTTCTTCTTTTTTTTCTTAAACTTTTTTAATTTTAAATAAGAATCACTGCCATTGTAACGCTTTTTCTCTGCTCTTATGGCAATCATTTTCTCTGCTCTTATGACAATAATTTTCTCTGCTCTTGCGGCACGATCTTTATGGTTCTTTGGTACATTTTTACATACTTTTATGGTTGTTTTGGTGTTCATACAAAAATCATTACGACATTTATTTTCTGATTGGTTTGTCGATGATCACATATAGTCAAATCCCCTCTTTCGTAAAAGGTTGTTTGCCGATATAATCAAAATTATGTAGCTAAAAAGCCTACCAGATTATTTGGTTCGCTCTCCCGTACTCATTTATCACTTTGTAAAGTGTCTCATTCGACAGAGAAGGAATTTTTTTATCAAGGTTACTAGGTTTTTTTTATGTTGGTCATCATTCTCAATATAAGGTTTTGTTTTCTTCTTATCTTTAGGTTAATATTTTGTTTTTATACGAATATTTTGGTGACTATTGTCTCAAATTTTCTGTTTATATTTGGGTGTGTTGAAATTCCATTATTTTGTTAATAAAATTCAGTTGTGATTGTTTTAAATAAATCTATTAACTTGATAAATTATTAGTTGCTTTTTTTTATCACAAATATAGAGAAGAGATTTAGTAAAATAAGACATAAATCGTCACCATGAATGGATCGAGGAATTGGGAGATCATTTTCTTTTGAAAATTTCAAATTTTTATATAATTTAAAAATTTATTTGTATATTTTAATAAATAATCTATTTTGTCTCTTTAAATTTTATAAATTCATTTTTTAATATAAAATTATGTGTTGGACCATTATTCATGTAATTGAACTAAATTTCATTTGTTTTATTGAAGACAGTTCCGGGTCCCTGATTCCATCTATCTTTGCTTTGCTTCTTTAAATAAATGAGACTTGAAGGATATAATAATGAGTGGGACTTGGTGCCCGTGACTACCTTCTTTATTATTTCTCTTTTACATTAGTTTTATTTAGGGAGGACAATTTCACCCGCATTTGACGGTTTTTGATCTGACTTTATCGGGTTAGATATTTTTTGAAAAAGGTTTGAGTTCGGGTCGAGTCGGATAATTTAAGGGGTGAAGTCAGGTCAGATTCGGGTACAGAGTGAAGAAACTCTGACCCGATCGATGATAATAATGTAATTTCCTTAAAAAAATTTATTATTTTTAATTAAATCCTTAATTCATATCGGGTCTGGTCAGGTCAGATTTATACTCCAAAAAATTGGCCGGTTGGATCAGAATCAAGTGGATGATATATATTTTTCGGATCGGGTCAATCGGATGTAGGATATAAATTTTTTAAGTTGGATCGGATTCAAGTGGAGGTGCATATTTTCGAGTTGGGTCGGATTGAAAAAAACCCGACCCTAGATCCGTTGTCATCCTTAGTTTTATTTTATATTTTTATTGCTGTTTAAAAGTTAGATCAGCACCAAAAGCATGGTTTATTTACCTTTAGAAAACAGCTACGACTCTTTCATAAAATGGGGTCCAAATGACGTTAATTCCATTTGGACAAAACACCCGTTTGTTTTTCAAACATGACAGTTTTTGTATGGAACGAGATGAATGCACCTAATCCAAACATTTTTACC